TTTTCCTTTTTCAGGAGTGAAAACGGATCCTTTTGTATCCCGCATGCTGGCACGAGGTCCACCACCCATGTATCACAGAGGGCGGTACCGGTACCCCCCCCTTTCCTCCATGTGCTGAACGTGTACAACTTCATAATGTAAGTAAAAGTTTTCAAACGAATCAAAACAATCCACTATTCTCCGTTTGTAAAATCATAATAGAATGAAACGTTGAACGGTGAAACAGCGAAATGAAAGGAAAGCACCAAACGGGGGAGGTTCGAAAAAAATGGAAGGAGGGAGGTTCAAAAGAAGGGGGAGGGAGATTGGGAACAGGGGGAGGTAATACGAGCGAACTGCATGAACAACAACTGTATTCCCTCCCCCTTGTTCCGACCCTCCCTCTCCCTTGTTCCGACCCTTCCTCCCCCTTGTTACGAACCTTCATCTGAAACTCCCTCCTCATGTCCCGAAGAATCCCAACGTATAGAACTTCATAATGGAATTAAAAGTTTTCAAATGAATCCAAACGATCCACAATTCCCGTTCTGTTACGATCCTGGTCAATTCCCAAGTGCAATTCACAATGAAAGACAATGCCACCAAATTGCGGAAGAAATGGAAGCACTTGCAAAGAGATATGGACCAGAGGAGAGAGAAAGAAGAAGAAGAAGAAGAAGAAGTACACCAGCAAGACAAATGACAACTCCCCCTTCTCTCTCCACCTTCCTCCTCCTTCCAACTTCCCCCAATCTCATTCCTCTTGCAATAGTAATAATAATAATAATAACAATGAACGAATGATCCAGAATCAATGTCCGAAGTTCCCCCTCATTGCTGACTCATACATCGGTCCACCATAGCCATGGCTCCTCCTCCTCTCATCTCTCTAAGCCTAGGCTATGGCGGACTACTTGGGCCTAGCCCTGATGTGCAACGGCCAACCCCAAAGCAGCTATGGTGCTGCTTGCTGCTCCGCCATGCCTGACCCTGCTCGGACCTCCTTGGTGCCGTACTACCCCAGCTGGGGCCTTCCAGATGCAGCGCCCTACCAGGTGATGAAGATGGAGTCCACCATAGCCAGGTAAGTACCTCGCCACTCTCCTACCTTACCCCCTTCTTCCTCCTCCTCGAGCTGGACCGCTCGCCATAGCCAGGCTGAGCTCCAGCTGCCTTCACCTCCAAGCAGCGCTGTATGGACCAGCGCTGCGCTCCAGCAGCATGTCGCCAATCCTYGCACACCGCAAATGAGGAAGAGCCAAGATATAGCGGCCTACCGGCCTCCTGGGCGGTGACTTCCTAGGCCGAGCGGCCTCCCAGCAACCGGTACCTCCTCACTTTCGGAGGGAAAAAACATCATTGCAGGCTCTGTTATTGTCCGGACAGGCCCTAGACCCGGGCTACTTGGACTGGTACCGGCCTACCTCTAGCCTACCGCTACTGGGCCTCTAAAAATGCCAACTTTTTGTCTTCTTCTGCTCGGCCTACCTGCTACTTGAGTGTTTTTCCCCAGCTGCTCTAAGTGCCGTGGGCCTACCCCCGCTACCTGCGTGTTAACCCCCCCTGCAACCCTTCAAAGTCACGGCTACAGGTAAGTACCGGCCCTGCGGGGCCTTGCAACCAACAGGTACCCTTACGGGTCACACACACACTCAACCGTCAAGCACTCAGACAGGCAAGCAAACGGGCAGGCATGCACACACACACAGACTTGGAAAACACAGCAGAATGCGGGAATCACGGCAAGGCATTCATTCCAGTGGCAAATCCCAGAAATCAGCAGTGTTCTCAGTCTGTGCTTTGGCGGGTCATTACAGTT